ATCTTATTCTGAAACGTTTGAAAACATTCATCTCTGAGAGACCAATGCAATAAATAATAGCAGAAAATAGATTGCAGCCAAGAACTACAGTATCATGGTTCTTCCATTCTTCCATTAGTAATTTTCATTCCTCCGAGAGAAACGTCGATTAAACCCATCCAACTTCAGCATTATACCCAAGAGGCTCTCCCCAAGGTCTGAATTTCAATTGATATGATCGAAACCACATCTATATACTCCATCAGTGTCTACTCTACTCCTCGTTCGCTCTTATTCCCCTCGTTTTGCCCGTGACGTTCACGATGCGACCATGAATACCGAAAAACGAGAGATGAGGGCAAAGCAAGCCAAAAGTATCCCTCTGCACTCAACTTGGAACTTTATGATTGGAAAAACTGCGTGGGTCACCGGTAAAACGGCCAACTTTTTCCATTAGCCCGGACGGGACATGGTCCGGGTATCCTTGATGTCAGATAGCCTGGGTATCCATTGGCCACGGATCATCCCAAAGCTTCGCCAAGCGTGTGAGTAAACACGTCACATTGAAATTGCACCCAAGGGATTGAGGTCATGCACCTCATTTTGAGGAAATGCTTGTGATTTTTTCGAGTAACGAAGAGATGAAATGATCAGTAGCCATAACATGTTTCTTACCACGTATGAAAAAATCCGATGGAGAATTAGAACATTTCCTATAGGATTTTACAGGTAGGATTTTCTATAGGATTCTTTATCAGGTTTTTCCTACTGTATTTCGTGTAGGATGTCCTACAGGAATTCATACGAAATTTTCGTTAGGATTTCTTATAAAATTTGGGGTCAAAAGGGCCATATGGGGCTTATATAAGGGTCATATAGGGGTCACATTGATGGGGGGTTCATTTGATGGTCGTATTGAAACCATATAAGCGCGATGGGGGAGCTGGTGTCTGTAGCGCCCATAATAAAAAAGGAAAAAACAATTTTTTTTTATTATGCAAATATTTGATAACAAGTAATTTCAATCGAAATTTTCAATTTTCTTCCGTGGAAACATCGTTAAAAAAAGCAAATCCTTTCCTACCGATATTCTTAAAATAATACCGATACTCTTAAAATATACTCATATTCTTAATATTCTTAATATGTCGACCCCAGAATTTCAGATTTTTTGTGATACCTGCCTCAAAAGTGCACTTTTCGAAACGGTTTAGTGTGCTTAAGGTGGTTGTTTTCCACACGGCGTGCGTAAAGTTTACGAGCGTTCGTGAAGTGAATGCTTGTGACATAGGGAGCTCTACTATGTAACATAGTAATTTTGGCTATGTACATAGGGCCTATTACCATTGAGGAGCTTCCTGTGTCGGATAGTAACCACACTATTAGAATTTTTTTGAAATTTCAGTCACAGCTTTATCTGAATTCTCAATGTTGTGAGTTTAAAAATTCATCTTGAAAATTCAAGAAAATATGGTTTTTCATGTTAAGCGATCATTGATATTTCAATAAAAGCTTGAGTTTTCAAAATCAATGTGACAATTACACATCAAACGCAATTGAATTTTCAATAGATTCAGTGATTTTTACCAATTTTTAACATTTTTCAGTGCCGCATGTATCTGGAAATCGAGAATTACTTGAATAAGAAATTAATTAATTCATCAGTGAAGTAATATACAGAAATTTCTTGTAACTTTGTCCTTGTTAAAAATTTCAAGCTTTTTCACTTGAAATGTCAAGAGTAATTTTTTCACAGTTCATTACGATATCCCATGATAGCCATTACCATGTCCATGAGTAATTCTTTTGAGTAATTCTCTGAGTAATTCTCTATTGGTTTGAAAATTTTCCATCATTTTCATTCACATTTTAGAATGATTCGCACTCCGATCTTCATAAAGAACACATAACTCCAGAATGTGAGAAAGGATTGTTTGCGCCACTTAATAATTCGAAGGTAATATCCCAACCCAATAAATTGCATTTTCCAACCTGAAGTATTCCCCAGCCCTCCTGCCGGTAGTTTTAAGCCTGGGAGATCACCCAGGGATTCAAAACCAGCAATAACATTCATTTTCCACGACTAAATTGCTACGGGTAAAGTCAGGGATGTAACAGCTTCAATTTTCACCATACCGTCTCCCACATACACTATGAAAAACAAAATTTGTCGACTTACCTCTTTACGTCCCTCCGTTCGCCCTGGATTCGGCCATAAACTCCAGGATCCATAAATTCGTAGATAGAAGCGGCAGGGGTTTTCATCTCTCCACTTTGGCTACTCTCATTCTCCAGTCAATGAAGAATTCCTGGGATTTTGACGAAAACATCAAGGCCATAAGTGCCAGTACACGGAATGTATGCAGCACAATTTTACAGTATCATATTTACAAATATTCATTCGAAACAAATTTCTGTGAAACAAGAGTTTTCAGGTCTACCCATGATAAGTCAAATTTTACATTCTCTTTAGTTGTGCTTTTAGCTCGGCATGGAGCCATTCTAGAAAAACATTTCGAGAAAACTTTTTTTCATGCGAGGCACGAATAAAAAAGCTCAGTAAAGCACTATTACAATCCTGCTTCCTTTTTTGCCCATTTTAATCGGGATTTAGATCATTTCACCGCAGCATTTTTCAACGGATGTACTGAATTTAATTAAATTATGATACTCTTGAAATTATAAGTGAAGAATCTTGACAAGCTAACCTGAAATTTATATACATTCTGTTATTGATGAAGCAAATAATTTCTTGAATATTCAGCTAAATTGCACTCTTTAAAGCAGTATAACCATAAGTTTAATTTTGAAGATTAAAATCTGACTTATGCTGAATCGGCAGTTTAGTACTATTAATAATAATCAATCTAAACCGAGCCGAAGGCGAGGATTATAATTACATGAGTCGATAATACTTTTATCACCGAGTGAAATACAATATTTTATGCCCCTGGACGCGACAACCGTGATCTTACTGAGTTTAGAATCGCGGTTTATTAGGCCTACACTGTTAGCAATTTTTTGACATTTCGCGGAAGATATAGTAAATCTTATGGGAGTGACATTGAGTGCCTTTCGGAATCAACTACCGTAGCGTCAGTCGCTGCAGTCAAGCAAAATTGAATAGGGTTGCAGTACTGTTACTGCGACTACCTCGATTGCGAAACGCACGTATAGAATCGAATTTAAGGAGGAAATGGTTATGAAATTTCAAGCTTTAAGTAAAATTCACGGAAATTCACGAGTTTGCAGTAGGACCGAGATGGAAATTTCACAACTTGAGTGAATTTTCAGTGGAACATGGATATTCAGAAATAAAATGACATGAATTTTCAATTTTTCCCTGAATTTCCCCGATTTTTCTAAATTTTCATAGAATAATTGAACTGAAAAATCAAGTATTTTATTGATTTCCAGATCATTTGAACAGAAAATCAATGGAATATTTGATTTTTCAATGACAAGATGTCCTGAAATTTCAGTGGAACTTGAACACGATAAAAATTTCTGGAATTCGGCACGGAAAATTCAGAGGAAAATTTTTAACAGTGTAGTAACATAAAACGTCTTTCACCATTTTTTCCTAGATCCATATTCAAAGTGATGTCATATACAGGGTGTCCCTTTTGAAACAGGACAGTTGAATACGTTTTTCAGAAAACATGAAACAGTAAAAAAGGTCACATGAAAGTTGTATGGCTCGAAGGGGGAAACTCCGCCAAATATATAATATCGAAAAACTGCATTATTTCACTCAATCGATTCCCAATGATTAATTGGGTAGAACAAAATTTTTTATGCCTCTATTTCTCCACTCCTCACCCCTCCAAACTTTCATAATTCCGATTATCAAGCATTTACGCAACCTACTTCCTCTCTTCAAATCGATAATCCACCAATAACGGCACCATTTCTTGCCAATTCCATTGTCAGATCCTCACATGCCGTGATGCCCGTCGCTTTATCTCCCTCGTACAATCACTCTGGACAGTTGGCGCTCAATCCTTTCCGCCCCTCTATCCCCCCCCCCCCCCNCCCCCCCCCCCCCGCGCAACTAGCGGTGCTCCTAAATATTTGCCGATCGTCACTCTGTAGCATTACAACCCAGATTCAACAGAAAACGGCGACGTTCAAACGACTGAACAACCCGTATTTCTAAATAAATAGTCACGGTCGAATTACTGAGGTACTTTTTGCATATTTTATTTGAGCTAGGTGACAAAAATAGTTACTCTCATTGTCCTTCACCGCAAGGTGATAAAAACAAACAAATAAAAATGATAGACACACTGACACTGTTGACCGAGATTTCTAAAAAAAATCACTTTTTTTTAGGAAAAGAGAAATTTCCTGAAACAATTGTGGTGATAAACGCCCCAAGCATTTTGAAAAATCAACAAAATGATTTTGGATATTTTGTGGTGAACGTTAATAGCTGTTTTTGTCATTTCGGCCATAGGCAGCGCTTCAATCTCTGCGTACGCCTGTTATGACAAAAATACTGTTCGTTACACGGCAGAAATCGTATATTTCGATACGAGTGCGTAAGTGCTTTTTGACCCGTGGGAGATGTGTAGCGTTCGCCGAAGGCTAGTGCGTCCCTCCTTAGGGTTAGAGAACACTTTCTCCACGCGTATCCGCTGAATGTATGTCAAATTTCACTTTATGGACGAGTGATGAAATAGTTATTTTCATCACAAGGTCCACAAAGTATTTTCTGACAAATGTGGCTTTGTAGGCCGAGCCGAAGGCGAAGCCTATAATCACATTCGTCAGAAAATACTTTTGGACCGTGTGATGAATGCAATTTTTCGTGAGAAGGCTCGTAAACCGTGATCTAGGCGCGGTTTACCGGGCCTTCTCACGAAATAGTATATTTCGTTACGAGTGCGGAAAAGTGTTTTTCTCTTTTGTATTGTATTGATTAGAACTAACAGCCTCTCGACACCTGAAAAAATTATTCTTACCATTTTTGTTGACAATTGATTTAAAAGAAATAATGAAATGAAAAATAATTTGTTTTCAACATTTTCTAGAGTTTTCTTATTTCTCATAATTTAATACATCGTAGAATTCACATTGTCATAGCATTCAAATATAAAACAATTATTTTCTCTAAATTTGCTCCAAACGTCGAAATCATGATGATGAACACTTCGAATTGTCCTCTTTTCATGAAAAATGTTCATGTTCAAAGAAAAAATTGATAAAGTTACGTCTGACTGCGATTTCTAAAATAAATTTTCACTATTATCGATAAAGATGGTATGTCCTAAAACAAACATATTAGATAATAAAAGCATCTTGTCTGATGTACAAATGATTCTGAAGATTTCCTGCGACAACTAGTCTGACAGAAAAATGAATAAAATGAAAAATAATGTATCTTTCAACATTTCCCCGAGTTTTCTTCCACACAATGTAATACATCATAAAATTCGCATTGTCATAACATTCGAATATAAAAAAATAACTGTACTCTAAATTCCCCACCAAGTTGAAAATTCTGCCGAAGTACATCAGCAATAACCCTCTCTTCATTAACAATTTCCCTAATAAAATGAAACCCACAATCAGCTAACGAAATTAATATAACGATTGATAAGAAACAGGGCCATCAGTCTTTGTAATCCCATCAAACGTACGTAATAAGCACCTACACGTGAAATCAAGCAACTGATAAAGTACAATCTCCATTATTTAACGTCCCCTAAGCACCGTGAGTAGTACCGCGTTAAGCCCCGATTCTCCCATAATCTCAAGACTCAACCCATCCATGTACCTGTCTATCTCCCCAGACCCTCATAAATCAACTGTCCACACCGAAGAAAAAAATGTCCGTGATTATTGAGAATTCTTCAACTTCTCCTCACTATCACCATTAATCTTCTCAGCCTCTCTAGCCATCGGCTTAAGTGCAACATCATAAGTATCTTCGTTTTTCTTCCTCCCGAGACAAGTCGTGAAACAAGTATCACCAACTCCAAACTTCTCTCCATCCTCAAGACTCTCGGGCATCGGTTGCCCCGCTGTTTCTGGTAGATAAAGAGATAAGAACCCTGATATCAGTGCAATGATGCCAAAAGTAACGGCAGGTACCCTGGCATCGAGTGAGTCTAGCAGTAGCAACATTGGGGTTAGCGAACCACTCAACCGACAGCACATGGATCCAATTCCCAACGCAGTATTCCTCAACACAGTTGGAAACAATTCGGCAGTGTAATTGTAGATAACAGCGAATGAAACGGCAATACACGCCTTCCCCACAAGTACAATTGTAGCAGCAGCTGTGACGAAGGTGGGCAGATCCTTAATTAGTGTCGCAACAATACAACAGGTGCCACCAATGAGCATGAATGAACTGACGAGAGACCTTCTCCCAAGCCGATCCATAGTGACACAAGTGAATATATAACTGGGAAACTCGACGATTCCACTAAGGGCTAAACTAATGTAAGGATTTCCCATCAAAGCGCCACTGCTTAATGAGAGTCCATAATAGACAATGGAGTTGGCGAACCAATTGAGACAGACGTTCAAGGTCTTCTTCCTGAGATTAGGTGTCTTGAAAAGATCTGCAGCAGTGTAGCTACCAGTGGAGTCCCTCGAAGCCTCTTTCGCCCGATTCTTGGACACGTATCTAGCAGCATCTAACACAGTATCACTACCGTTCATCTTTAGAGCCTTCTGAACGATCTCCACAGCTTGTTTTCCACGCCCTTGCGCCCACAACCACCTGGGAGACTCGTCCATTAGCCACCAGTGGCCAATCAAAACAGCCGAGTGTCCACCGTACACAATTTGCAACCACATGCGATCCTTGATAAAGGCCCCCCAGAAGGCGACAATCACAAACCCACACGCGAATGCCAGTTGGAACATCAATCCACACACAGTTCTTTTCGACGGCCCCACTAGCTCCATCGTTAACACGAAACCAGTGATGTAGGCGCCAGCAGATCCAAAGATTCCGTACAAGAACCTCACGATTAAGAAAGTGGTGTACTCGGGCATTAGAGCAACTAGAATCCCCAGTATCAACTGGTTCGTCGCTGAGATGCAGAAAATGACTTTCCTACCGTATTTATCGGCCAGAGTTCCAAGTGTCACAGCCCCGAAGAAGACACCGAGCATGTAGGAAGACTGGGCTAGCGCTCCTCTCCATCTTCTCGAGCACACAAAGTTCCATTCAATACCCCTCGACGATTTGTAGTAAGTGGTATCGTACACCCACTCGTCGCAGTTCTTTGTCTTGTTGTCAAAGTCCTTGTAGTGGCAGTGGTCCAGGCTCACCGGAATATTCTCAAATGTACTTCCATTGCTGTACAATCTGTGAGGACCTGGCACAGTCTCCCAAGTCAAATTGCCACCAAGCTCTTCTCTCAACCCTGGTACAACACACTTGTGTGGTGGAACAGCAGCAACAGTCAACAATGTCAACATGTGTAATCCAGCTGTCAGTCCGGCAAGCACATGCAACGAGTATTGCCATGCCTGGTACTTCCCAAACTCTCCAAGATGTGACATCAACTCCTCCAAATCTGTGTCAACACTCGCCATCGCAGCTTTATTTTTATCTGACACAAATCACTGAATTACACTCAATTCGTTGGATTATCGACAGCGACCGATGCCGATCGGTCAGAGGAGATTGTACCCCACCGGTCGGACCTCCACGGTGTTCACCAGTCAACTGGATAACTGGGTTAGTAACCTCCCGTTCGAACAAACGCGAGGCGAATGACGTGTGCACTCCTCCTGAGTTGGATTTGAGGCAGAGTGGAGACGCTCTAGCTATTACTTTTTTTTGAAACTCACTTCACATTCGGCCTTCCACGATCATTTGTCCCACTCCTCGGTGTTTCTCACTCACTTCAACAGCTGCACGCCTTTCGCCTTCAAGTATTTCTGTTTTCTCGTTCGGCGGTTAGAATTGTTGGCTGCCCCGTCTTTACATAGAGTATGGTTTATCATGAATATTTTCTCGATGCTTCAGTTGGTGTGATCCCGAGCTTGCTGCTTTATCGAAGTCACATGGCTAAGGGTCGAGGGGACACTGACCTCATTCAGCACAGGCTATTGTCTGAAATTCTAACGTCAAGGTTCTTTTTAATTTGTATTTTCGGTGGTTTTCAGTTTGATGAGGATTAGTTGGTGATCAAAGGTCGAGGTGGATGAATGGGTCTGCGGTATTAAGTGCTCCCAATTTGGTAAAATTGGTTGAATGGATGTGGTGTTTACTCTCCGGCCATGCACAGTGGGTACTATCTAGTAATTAAGTATTTAACGGGAATGTACGCGACTATTTAGGACCGAGTTGTTTATACACGAAATTTTACAAGCGGTCGATCTTGCGGATTTGCAGGACATGGGACGGTTTTTTAATTGTGTCATTAGTATTTTTTATTCAGGGGTAATTGTATTCATGGGGGATTTTAATTTTCAGGGACCAGGGTCTTCATATGATGAAATGGAGAGGTGACTTGAATATAGAGGATTTTCACACGAAATATTTTTAAAATGGAAATTCCGGTTGCACTCAGCACTCATTAATGTGTAAATACTGGTCGACCTGGGAACGTAATGTGGGTTGTTGGAAATTATAATTAATGGGGAGTGATAAACATGGTTTTTCCGCATCGAGGAAAAGAATGGTGAAAAATTATTTCATAAAATTTAGAAAGGAAAAAAACCGAGATCACTGTGAAACGTTGTTGAATAATTGCACTATGTTTCTGCCTTCTTTTGCAAATTTCATAATATGATGACCGAGTAGAGATTACAATGTCTAAAATTACCGCTTCGATGGCACTTTTGTTTATTTAAACCTCGACTTTCCTTTTTACTACTCGGAAAATCTAAACTACGACTTATCTCATATCTTATCTCTCTTTTTCCCTCCCCCTCTCTCCGCGCCTGATAACGGTCGATGCTTTTGAAGGGTTTCAGGCCGAGATATCCGTACTGTACAAGGCCGACGAGTGGTTTAGTACTTCAGGGACAGTTGCACTCCGATACACTCACTGTTGAATTCCCTTTTTTCCGGTTTCACAACAACTAGTGGTATTCCCCGCGTTCTCCGCTCGTTCTACACGTGTTCCACAATTGCTCTCTTATCTGTCACCGCCTTCTGCCCTCTCACGTGACCCCGGTAGTGCGCGTGGGAGAATCGATTACAATAATCATCGAAAATCGGGGAGAAAGAAAAAGCATTGAATTACCAATTAAGGGGAGACTACTATGGATTTTAAAAGTCGTGGGTTATTGGAGATAGACTTTTCATACGTTGAAGATCGATTATATAGATCTGAAAACGAATAATTAGTGTAAAAAAAATTTTTTTTATTGTTCGTTTGCCCGAAAACGCTTAAAATGCCAAAAAACTGGCTCGTAATTGTTGTTCCACACACTTTTCCGAAAATTTTGAAAAAAAAATCTTGTGTTTAGAGTGTGGGATTGGCATGCAGCGGACCTGGGTTCGCTTCCCGGTTGCGTCGCCAAATTTTCTGACACTCTCAATCTCACAGATTCATTGTCGAGCGGGAGTCTCGTAAAAAAGACGACTATACCTGGGCAGGTTTTTTCCCTCAAGTGAGGTTTTCCCTCGTCCTTCGGCGAATGCGGTATAGGGGTTGGGGGGATGGGACAAGGGGAAAAACCGTAAAAATCCGAGAGGGTATGTGAAAGAAAAAAAAATTTATTATCGCTCTGAGATGGTAATAAATTCGAAAAAAATGGAACGGAAGAACGAAAAACAGGCAATAATAATTACTGGCTGTACTTATATTACGTAAGACAGTTAGGGGGCGACGGGGGGAATTTCCGTTCCATGGTTTCACTATCAGGAAGACGATGGTGTCAGAAGATCGTATATGCTGGAGTGAAAAGTATAATAAAAAATTGGATCAGAATGATTCTAGAATCTAGAGAGTTAAAATCGTCCAGATTCCACGTTTCCTGGATTAGGTTCATACGACCCTTTTCCACATGGCCCACGAATATTGTTGAAACACATTTTCAAAATTCTTTCACAAAATACATAAGGCTGTGATTTTCTTTAAACAAGAAAGCCATTCATTTGAAATAAATGAATAGTTTTTTTCAAATTTAATAATTTTTTTTTGTAAATAAATAAATTATTTATTTAATATAAGTAAATCATTTTTCTTGAAACAAGTAAACTAATTTATATATTTGTAACTTAAATATTCCTGAAATTAATAAAAATTTCAAATAAGAGTTTTATTTGACTCAAAAGAACCATTTTTCGGGGTGTTATGATAGATTTCTCAAAGTCAGTGACATGTTTCTGGAAATCAAAACTCTTTCCTTTCTTTGTTGAAAAGCTTCAATAATCAAATGCGTCAGTCGAATTTCGCAACAATAATTTGAAACAAATAGATAATCAGTCAATTTACATTGTTAAACTCCAAATTGCGTCGATCATGCCTCACTATAGTGTGTAGACATTCAGCATCGTCAGCGTGACACTTTTCAGCATAACTGAAGTATGATGCGCAAATAAGGATACAAACTATACATTCGTGATACAATTGTATCTTGAATTGGGGCACCTTAAGATGCTCCAAAATTTAAGGGAATTACTTTGAATTAATTAAGGGGAGATTGCGGTGAAGTTTGAAAGTTCTCGTTAGAGCTAGGGGCTTATTGAGCAAATTTTGATTTTTTATCATTATTCTACATCACTCTGACTTGATTCTGAGTATACCGCAGAATCTGATCAAGACTTTGAATGGTTAGATCGCACCATTCTATACGCCCGAGTTTTGAATTCGGGACCTCGAGCATGTGAGCCAACAAACTTACCCACTGCGCCAGTCTAACGGAAATAAAAATTTATGATATGTAAGACATATATTAAAAAGTGGGGAAAATGATAACTACAGCCGATTTTGCTCTGTAAATTAACGAAGAACGTTTTTCATTTTTACCTTCAAAAATGTTCAATTACCTCAATTTTAATGCGATTGATCTTTTTTTTTTACATTTTCGTTAGTCCCCAAAGAATGAAGGTACGCATCCCTTCTACAATTCATTGAAAGAATCATGAACAAAGTTGGAAAAAACGGAGAAATTAATATGCAAGCAATAAATGAAAAAAAAATTCTTCCATTTTATTCCTAACGAACATTTTGAAAAAAATAATTGTCAATCGAATAAAAACTGAGGTGTTTGTACGATTTCGAATATCAAAATGTAAAACGTTGCTTTTTGTCGATTCACGGGATAAAATCGATTGTAGTCACCATTTTTCCCACTTTTTAACATGTCCCGTCATAATTCAAAAGTTGTTCAATACGTCCCCCGCGCAACCAAGCCTTTAAGATGTCACCGTTATTTATTTAATATAAGTAAATCATTTTTCTTGAAACAAGTAAACTAATTTATATATTTGTAACTTAAATATTCCTGAAATTAATAAAAATGATGTCTCCCCTTATGGGAGAATGATGATGTCTCCCCTTAAATCAGTATATTTGAATAGCTCATAATAAATATTTTATTCAAATTTAAACTTGATTTTTATTTGCATTTTATATAATTTTATATTTATAACCCAAATAGCCCCTCACCTTTCGGACAATTACAAAATTTCTGGACAAAAGGTTTCTTTTCTTAGTCTAGATATTCCCTTCTTGTCAATTTCCGAGTCATGAGCTTCATTGTTAACAATTTTTGTCTGCAATTACAGGTACACTTTTTGAAGATTTTTATGGAATTTAATTACCACTGAAATTTCCAGGAATTTCGCCATTTAAAATTCAGAATTTCCTGGAAAAATCAAAATCAACTTCAGTTCCATTTTTCCGTGAAAATGAATGGACAACCAGAACATTCCGGGAAATATATTCTTGAATTTTTTACAGTGACACTGAATGCGATTTAGGAGGGAAAAAATTATGAAATTTCAGATTTCACCGAAAATTCAATGCAATGTGGCACTTAATATTCATATTAGATTGGCAATTCAAAAAAATTGGGGAATTCTCGTCTTTATGCTATTTAAAATTCTGGAATTTTACTGAATTTTCAATGAAACCTGGAATTTCACGATTTCCACGAAATCGCATTCAGTGTCACTGTCCTGAAAATTGTTAGTCATCTGTCCATGAAATTTCATTTTATTCTAACAGTGTTCTCGATACAAGTAGAGATGTACTTCTCAAAAAACTTCCTTTTTCTCAGTGTGTTAAACGTTCAATAAATATCGTAGAAATTACTATAATGAAACTAGCACAACATGACTTCGTCAATTAAGGGGAGACCGCGGTGAAATCTCAGTCTTCGTTGAAGTATTAGGGAATGTATCAAGTCACTTTTGATGTATCATGGTACATGTTAGCAAGTGGGAAAAATGATGCCTACCAAGGATTTTGCCCTATGAAACAACGAAAAACAACATTGTTGCCTTTAAAATCGTCCAAGTGCTTCAGTTTTCATCGGATTGATAATTTATTTTTCAAAATGTGCATGGAAAAATTAAAGAATTTTTTTTTTCGTTTATTACTTTCGCATTGATTTATCTTTTTTTCATTTTCTTTGATTTTTTTCATAATCTGTAGCCTATCTATTCTAACTAGACTTGTTTCCACTTAAATTATTACATTTCATCATACCGCACAATAAAAAAACTCGGAGAATAAATGGAAATAAGTGCCCGTCGCTAACAAGTACGATAAAGTAATCAATATTAAAATTATCAGTGAAACACACGTGACACTTCATTAACCTCTCATCTCCATGTATTGATTTATCATCGTCTCTCAACCACCGATAACGAATATTCACCAGGTTAAACTACAATCTCATCTCTCTCTGTTATCGAAACTTTTTCAATTACATTTTCAATTGTTTCCCCCTCTGAGTCCGTAAAAACCATTCGAATCATCCCCTCGAAATTAAAAAATCGTTCGACACGTATTCAAAAGATAAAAACTGCTCTCAAACCATTAGGTTACTGTGTAAAAGGGGTGATAGGGTTTATCAGGGATCACCGAGATTATTTCTCGATGCTTCGACTAATATTCATCACACGCTCTAGTTTGCATTAGCCGGGTTAATGGAATATCCAGTCGAAATTCCAGGCACGGAGCATGATGCATAATAAAAATCATCCCAAAATATGGGTAACAATTACTGAACAAAATATGTAACCCTAATTGAAAAAAAAAATATTTGAGGTCATGGTTATATTAAATAAACGTTTTTTACTATTAAAAAATCTTTATTTGATCCAAATAAATTCTTTATTAATATCAAATAAAACGTTTTCTTATATTATGAAAATTTCTTTATTTGGACCAAATAAATTTTTTCTTTGAACTAAATAAATATTTAGTTCATATCAATAATTTATTATCACTTTGTGATGTTAATATACTCGAAAAAATTCAACGAAAAACATGCAATCATTTTTAGGGGTTGGGTATATATCACGTAAGACATTTAGGGGGAGGAGAGAGGGGCAGAGAGATTCTCAACAATTTAGCCCATGTTTTTTTTGGTTTGCTTTTCCTTCAGGCAACTTTTTCATGAATTTTCATGGAAATCTACAATTTTACGGTAAAGGAATTCAAAAATCGCACGACGAGGATTATTCTTGCCTTCACTACAAGACATATTTTTCTTTCAATTTTCTCCGAGTCAATTTTATTAAAACAGAAAATTAAATTAACAAATAAATTCTAGAGAGCTCAAGTCGTCTAGATTGCACTTTTCCTGGATTAGATTCATACGACCTTTCTCCTCATAGCCGATGAATATTGTTGAAACATAATTTAATTACATAGAAATATGATTTTCATAAAATAAGAAAACTCTTTATTTGAAATAAATGCCTCGTTGATTCGATTTTAACAAATTGTTTATTTAAAATGAATAAATTGTTTGCTTGATATAATTAAAACCTTTTTGTTGGAATAAGTAAACAAGCTCATTCATTCGTAACAAAAATATTATTGAAATAAGTAAAAAAAATTCAAATAAAGATTTGTATTTGATTTAAACAGAATTTTCTGGGTGTATTGATGGGCAAGTTCGGATGTTAACGATTTGATCAGGCGTGGATCCAAATAAGCGTTCAATTTTCGATCCAAAACTGATCAAAATCTAGCCTGACTGATCAGTCTCTTATTCTAGCCTGATTTGAATTTTCACTCGTATTTTTTTTTCACCATCACTCATTATCTTCTTACAACTGTTGCTATCGCAATTTTTACGACATTCGTTGTTATCCTAATATCACAATACGATGCCAAAGAAAAATTCGAGGAACACCTGCCCACGAAATTTTCAATACACCAAACTTGAAAATTGGCTAAACGGTATGTGGTGGAAATTCGCGACTAAAAAACCGCGATATTTTCATTTCTTTGAGTAATTTTCCTGAGATTTTTTTAGAAATATGAACATATAATATTGTTCCCTGATTAAAAACTGCCCGAGAATGTATTCTCGTCATTTTTCTCAATCGCGACAGGATAATTTTTCTTACATTTTCTCTCCACGTGGATAAACGCTGCCGGTAATTGATAAATAATAAAATTGAAATGTTTTTACTCGTCGATGAGAGATTTCCCGGAAGGTTGGAATTAAAATGTTCGGGGAAATCATAGCGAAATGAAGGAAAAACGTGAGCTCTGATGAATACTGGTTATACTCACAAACTGTCCGTGATAACTGCAAGAGAGGCTAGAGACGACTGACAGCTGTAGCCCGTCACGCAGCGAGAGGTACCCACACTCCCTTCGGAATAAATTAAAAATGTTGAGCAACAACTGAACATTTATGGAATTATTTGGAATCAAATGGATAACAAATCAATTATTAATCTATTGGGGTAAAGTAAACAGAAATGGTGTCATTGAAAGGCGCAGTATTTATTCTTGTAAATTAAGCGGGTGACGTTGAGAGGTCAATGCTAGCGGTTTCAAGTGGTTTGTTGACCGAAATTTCATGACACGATGTGAGGATTTTTTTTTTCAATTAAAAACATATATTTTTATTTGTTACTGCGAATATAGAAGAATTTTGTTCATGAATAACTAGTATTTTTGGGGTTCTGGGGCCTCCCGGTCTTACCATCATCTAAGACACTTATTTATTTGTTAATTATTGTTTATTAATTACCATATGGAGAGAATATAAAATTAAAAATTATCATGTGAACATAGCAATCGCGGAACATACCGAAAAAATTTGATTTATTTTAACCTAACATTTGCGATGTGAAATTCTTTTTTTGCAATTTAATATAGTAATGGTTAACGGACAAAATGCAGAATAAAATGCACAGACAAAACAATGAATTTCAAAAGTGTTAAAAACGCTCTATTTTTTTCACCAATTTTTACTATTGAATAACGAGAAATTACTCAAATTGTATGAATTTTTACTATGTTAAATTGTAACTTTTTCTTATGACTGAAAACTTTAGTTCTTACTCTCGCACCTCCTACATTTTACTCGAGGAAATTACACAAATTACTACGCTGACTAGTAAAAACTGCAGCGAACGATGAGAGCATTGATTGTTTTCAATTCTTGGAATCTCCTCTCTTCTTCGACCACGTAATGACCCGGGTGGTAGATTCTATAATTCTAAAAAAGTCTATCCTTCCACTCCCCCCCTATTTTTCAAAATGAATATACGTGAAGCAAAATGATTAATAATATTTTTCAAGGATGATGAAAAAAAATAAATGTTGTTTTTCCCTTCGATTATTGTAAAAATTCCTCTCTCCCTCGCCCCTTCCGCGAATATTCATTTTGAAAGGGGGAGAGAATATTTTTTTAACCGACAATAGTATATTTCTAACCTAGGGAGGGAAAATAAAGGATCCTCAGCCGCCAGTGCAATTACCAGCCGAGCCGAAGGCGAGGTTGGTAAGCACGCGGTTGAGGGTCCTTTATTTTACTTCCCGTGGTTAGAACGCGATTTTCCGTCTCGGCGTAGGCGCAAAGTCAGAGTTCCCTCCTCTCCGCGAAGCGGGAGAGAACTGTAACTTTGCGCCCGCCGGAACGGAAAGTAATAATTCATGTTTCTTCGCTTAAATTTTACTCGTGCCAATTGAAAATTTAACTTTTATGATACCATTTTCTACTATACACTCTTAATTTTTACTATGTTCAACAGCAATTTTTGCACAGACTCCATCATGTTTTAATTTCGTCAGGCGTATTTTTTCATCGAGCACGTCGTAGTTTTTTATTTGCTCTCAAAATTATGTTAAATATTGAATTTTCGATTGTGGCGGGAACCCTGCATTCCATTTCTCATATTAAGTTATATGAGAACAGTCAATGTGCTACTAATGAGACATTTTGAGGAAAAATCCTTCATGCAGTGCGAAATATGTCGCGACGAGTCTAAACACAATCGACCTTTTAGTTTTTAGTGAAAAAAATTATTAAAAATATCATTTTTAGAACATCTTCGACAATGTGCTAGCAATCCAAATACCGAATCTACGTGAACATATTCCAAAAATATATCTCTGCAATTTCATAATTTATTGCCGCGCCGATTTTGAGGAATCATTGAAAATGTATCACAGGATCACGAATTTTCTCCATACTAAGGAAAAATGACTATTCAACATGACCGAAATAAGAATAGAGTAGAACGCACAGGTTTAATTCGACTGTAGGTCTTATAAAAAATAGGAGCTTTTAATTCGTAAAAAAATCATTAAAAAATTTTGCAGATGATAATAATCATCGGTTAAATAATTATCAGACATAAATAGTTAGCTCGGAATAATTGTAATTGATAAAAACTCTAATGGAAAAATATATATAAATTGAAAATACAAATACAAATAGATTTATATTCATTTATAGAAAATATAAATTTAGATTTATATTCATGGCATTTATATTCAATACCAATATTCAATACCAAAACATCATCATAATAATATCCATGGAATAAAATAAGAAAGTTTGATAGAAATTGCCTTCTCTTATTTTTGAAATGGAATTCCTACAGATCCATTCGGAAACTTATCACCAATGGAACTGGTAGAAATGAAAAAAATGGAAGACTAATACCCGGGTAGAAATCACGCCGCTCGAGCTCGGCTCGGAACCCATATCCCAGCTAGAAATACGCCACTCCGCCCCAGCTTGGGATAAACTCCACGCGCGTCACATGTACCCGAGGTTGAGCCGCGTCACGCGCTCACAGCCCAGCATTAGACTATTACGCGAAACGCTTCGCCGGGCTTTAGTTGAATGGCCACTGCTCAACCTCAGGTTCATCTCCAATTATTCAATCCCAGTATACTTAACCTCAACAATGATTTGACAGGTCCGATGGCATCGTGATTTGAGCGAAAAAACAATCGAATAAATGTGAAAATGGCATGCTTTTTCAGATGAACAATCACAAGCTCATCAGAAATAACGTGATATTAACTAATCGAATGGGATTAATCTGAAAATACAAGGTAGAACAATTCACTGAAACGTAGTCAAAACTTTCTTTTTTCTCGCGAATACAACAAACAAAATCAAGAAAAATAATCACTTGAAAAACGTTAACGAACCTTTATTATTAATTATCAACGCTACAGGAGAGGATATTCTTCATTTTTCGATAGGCCTACGAGTTCTAAGAATATTCTACGATTTATTAGGGAAATGTTGAATACAGGTATGCCAAAATAACACGCATGAAAAAATTCAACAGAAAAACCTAGCGCTTTCTATTAAATTTCTATTGGAATTCTATGAGAATTCTCTGGAAGTTCTATTAGAATTCTATTCGTTTCTTGCGCCGATTCTATAGGAGATTATGCAACTTCATAGTCTTTTTGTTAAGGTAAAATTTGGTGCAAGAAAGTAAATAGGTTTTTATGTTCCTATAGATTTTCTTAGGCGTACGATTTCTAAGTTTTTTCCGCTCGGTTTTTCTTGATTTTCCAAAGTATTCAAATTTTAAATCGATATTCTAAAAATGCATAAATATCATTCTATTCCACCCTCCACTCGAAACGACACGACTCAATCGGAGCTGAGTTGAGCTAAGCGTTGAGGCTCAAACTCAAGTGCCGGGTTATGCCGTCTGATGAGCGTTCGACTGTGAGCCGGTATGGAGCGGCGTGTCGCGGCGTGAACTCGGGTCAAGCGGCAAGCCGAGGCTGAGCTCGCGTTCACCCGAGTTGCGGCTGAATCCCCGGTTGAATTTCTACCCGGGTAGGCATAAAGTAACGGTCACATGCCTTCTGTCGGATAAGCTCGGTCTCCTGCTGGTTTTCTCTCTATACACGTTTGCCATCCGCGTAAGAGCAATTTTTATTAGCCATTTCGGCACTAATAATTCACAATTTGATGAAAAAATCAAGTGAAACTATAAATTTCAGTCGCAGTCACAAGTGGGAAGCACGAGTGATTTCTATTGAAAAACTTGACAAGTTCGTTTGTATGTAGGGAACCTTGAGGGAAATACCTGATTAATTTTGAAGCTCGAGTGATATTCGGAAGAGAATTTTTCCATCCAAATTTCGGCCAAGAGAATTGCACTATGGGACAAAATCCATCTGTCAGTTCCAACGGAGGGTTCACAAGACCAGGAAATCTTTTGCTTTTCATATACTTTTTTTATTCATATTTCTTTCCTACTATCATTACAGTTTTATAGGCTCCCCCCTTCCCATTCATCTGTGTTGCCTCTCCCACTTCTGTCTTCTGATTTTTATCTGCGGGCCGTCTTACTCTTAACTATACCCCATTCGGGCTAGGACTGCACGGGAAACCATGGAAAACCCCAGTCGTACAGCCGGCCGATTGTGCAGAGCCCTACTGTGCCCTTCTGTCACACTGACTGGAGGGGCAGATTAACTACTATACCGTGCCTACCTTCCGAAATTTTTGGGCGAAAGTGTTCCTAAGCAGTCACCCATCCAAGTACTAACCGCGCTAAACGTAACTGCACTCGGATGTCTGCCGGAGCCACACCTAACTCACCCGACCATTACGGTCGGCTGTTTTTCGTATCTATATTTATATATATACCAATGTGAAAAATTACTAGTGGAATTATAAAAAATTATTAGTTGAATACCACCACTACAAAAACCAGGTGTCTGACAGCTATTTGAATTCAAGATGTCAGGTGGTAAAAAACGTCTGAATCTTCGAAAGTGTCTGAAAATCTAACTAATGTCTGAAAATTTTAACCACCATCATCATTGACAGTTTTCAAACACAAAACTGTTTGAAAATGATGGTAGAAATTTTTTGTGTCTGAAAAATTTCAGGTATTTGTTTTCAGATATTTTCTGTGTCTGAAATTCAGTTATTTATGAGCGATTCAAACATTTCACTATTAAGATATCTCACCTGATACAGACGGCAAAGTCCATTGAAACATTAATTTTTAAGATATTTCTCATGTCTGAAAAGTTGACTCATCCACTGCAAAAACTAGGTGTCTGACAACCATTTGAATTTAAGATGGCAGATGGCAAAAAACGTCTGAATCTTTAAAAGTGTCTGAAAATCTAACTGATGTCTGAAAATTTCAAACACCGCTAGTGTCTGAAACTGATGTCTGTATCTTAATTTCAGACATCTTGGTGTCTGAAATTGAAATGCCTGCATTGATTCAGACACATTTTAATGTCTTAAAAGGGTCTACAAAATCGTCCCAAAAGTGTTTGAAAAGTGTGTACAAAAGTGTCTGAAATTCAGACATTAGTTTTCGCAGTGGTGTTAATTATATAAAATAACAATG